ACTTGTTTGCCACGGTCCCTCACCGTTGTTAGGGTCAGTACACAGGCACTTGAAATGATTTCGAATAAAAATAATAAATCTCGAGTATTATTATTATTGAAACGTTTCAAACAAGTGCCTATGTGTCAGACGGTCTAATGTCTCATAGTCATATGTTTGTATAGGTATCGTGTCTAATCTATCTATCTTTTACTCTCTCTATTATTATTTTTTCTTCTACTTCTTCTACTTTTTGTTTTTCTTATTTGTTATATAATTTTTTTTTTAATTTTTTCTTGTCAATCTTATTTTCATCCTTCCTCTGTCTTTAATTCTGTGTATATTCTTACCGCGTGTGATCTTTTTTCAGTCTGTTCTTTTGTCATCACTCATTCATACCTGTCTGTTTCCTCTCGTCTTTTCCTTTTTTTTTAATAGCTTCTTCTAGTCCTCGGTTGATATGTCTCTCGTCGCGTTACTCCTTTCCCCTAGACAACCGTCTGTCCTCTCGATTTCTCTGTATCGTCGTCTGTCTTAGTATCTCTATGTCTCTCCTTCTTCTTTTCCTTCTTTCCTCTTTTCTATTCTCTCTTAGTTTCGGTCATCTACTGGCATTTTTTGATGTTCAAGGGCGGTGTGAGCGCGTGTGGTTGTCTGTTGTGTGTGTTGTGATTGTATGCTTAGGCCAGGTAGTTACGGCCAGCGCTGTGTACCGTTGTCGCGCGGCGGTGTGTGGTGCTGTGTGTTGTTGCTGTTGTGTGTTGTGGACGTACCCAGGGAGCGAGACGATTAGACTGGTTGCCTCGTATCTGGCTTGTGGCTGTTAGTATATGTAGACCGCAGGGAGGTGCGGATTTCCAATTTCGACTCTCCAGGTTTTTAAGTTTAGACCTTGATGGTTTGGAGTTCTCCTGATTATGTTTTTTACTTTCAGCAATCCACGTCAAATTGCAAATCATTTTTTGTTTGGGACGTCGTTCTTTATGGGTGGCTCCTTGTAAAATTGTGGAGTTCAATCTTTCCGGAGGTGTTAATTATGGGTGTTAGTTACATGTTTGCTTCGTTTTGCCGATGATGGTGTTATCCTTCTTTTTAACCCTGAGGCTTCTAGCTCGTGAATAGCCTGTGCTAGATAATCTATCTCGCGGTCTACCATCTCTGAGTATATACTATTGTAACTATGTTTATACAGTTAATATATTCTTCTTTTCTTTTGTGTCCGTTACATCTCTCTCACCTTTCTCTTCTTTTTTTCTTTTTTTTCTTTTTCTTCTTTCCTTTTTTATCTGTCTCTTCTTTTTCTCTAGATATTCATATTTTTTTGTTATTCTATATCTTTTTGTCTTTTTTTCTTATCAACGTTCTGTTTGCTCGTTTCGTTCGCTGTTGGTTCTTAATCTGTGTGTCCCTAGTGTCCTAATGACATTTAGTGTCATGTAGTCCTTTCAATGTTGATAAGTGAGGATTACATAGCAGACTCTTTGCTTGCGATGCGGTTGGGGGTTGGATGTGGAAGTTGACTGTTGGGTTGGGAGGCGCTTTTTTTGGTTCGTTCATTGTATTAATGTGCGTTTAGGTAGATGTGTAGTAAAAATATATTATTTTTCACTCAGACCCTAGGTTAGGGCCTACGGATATCGGATAACCGATTTATGCGTTCAAAAGTTGTGTGTTTTCTTTGATAGTTACACATACAACGTAAACAAACCTCATGTAACGGGTTCTAATTGTCTTTATGTAAACACTGGAATACCGCTGGCTCAGATGAATTGAGTGTATTGGGCGTTTTACGAGTTCCTGGTCTGTTTATCGGAGTACTACGTATATGTACCCGAGGGCGGGCGTTACATACTATTTGTTTATACAACCAAAGCGGATCCAGTACCATATAGGTCTTTGTAGTGGGTACAGAACGGCTTTTTTACCTGCTAACTCTAACATAAACCAGTACCCTCAGCAACCCTAACCCGTATTTACCCATTATTGGACCAAACACTTCATCTTTGTTCGTAAGTAGGGGTTAGGGTAGCGAGCTGTCTCCTGTTGTTGGTCTTTGTGGGTACATTTGATTAAGTGGAATAGGTTATAGTACGAGGTTGTTGGTGTCCAGGGCTCTACTGTTTATTATTTTAATGGCGCAAAGAATTTAGATACGCGGCTCATTTTAGTTAGTTTAACCTTCTAAAAACCTCACATTCCGGTAAACTGATATCTAAGCCCTTTGGTTAATAATAGCGTATTAAGTTAATCATCCCTTGTAACAGGCTAGGCAGTAACGCATTCGGCTTTTTAGTGGTTTTGCTTGGTATATTCAGGTTGCGTTTGGAGGCTTAAGTTTCAGTTTTACAACTCTTCACGGTCCAAATCTCAACAACTAAACACAAAATCAGGATAGAGATACTTGTGCCACGACGGCTTATAACTTTCGAGTGACTTGTCCTTCCTTGGACCTGTTGTATATCACTAATCCATTTTAACTATATTTATAACTTTACTCGTCTAAGTGACTTGAAGTTATAGAGATTAGTCACCAAAGGGCGCTTTGGGTTCTCCAAACTTTATAGATATTGCACTTACAGCGGTTAGGGATTTCGCAGTAATAGATTTGCTGTGACTAAATCTAAGTACAAAATTTTCTGCGGGCTCTCTAACGTACTAAAGGTTAATTATTTCTGCCTTTCCTTTTTTTACTACTCAACATAAAAGTCTCTTTAGTAGTTTTCTTTGTAATTAGAGAGGAAAATTATTGTGAAACACGGTATGTGGTCCAGGATTTCTCTTTACATTGGCTTGTCTTTTTGGATAGTGTTGAATAAAAACGCTTTCGCATGTACTACGGAGGTGTGTCAAATAGGCACGGTATTGCTCGCCCAGCTACATGCGCGTTCGGGGCATGCTCCCTCAGGAAAAATTTAGGAGAATTCAATGGCATAACTTGTGCCAGGTTTGGGGGTTTCAATGTTCTCAGTAGCAATTATTCTGGATTTTCACCATGTATTTAAGTACTTTGAACTTTTTATTTTTTCTCAAGCCTTTGGTCAAGTAGTAGACATTTGATGTTATTGATGAGAATGATACAAGTATTCACATTAAAATCTTAGTTTAACATGTAATGTAAGCTGTCACCTGAAACGACAGGTTTTGTGTGTCATTTATGGTTATGTTGCTGAAGATGGCCTGCGTATTGTTTTGACGTCGGAGGCGAACGTTAGGAGTAAGCTCGGGAAGGGGCTGGTGGCCGTGCTTCATAGTGTGTATCTTCTGCGTGTATGCTCTAATGGTTACTTATCGGAAGATTTGAGTTCGGATGGACATCTGGTGAAAAATCACATAATTCAACTGAAGATTTAAAAAAAAACCAATATATTTAGGTAATAGTATGTTTTATTAAATGCTTTTCTCATTGTGGCGTTAATAAACGGCCTTAACAGCATTGAATGCGATTTTTTATTACAGGCGAGAGAGCACAACAATGTTCGCTGGTGAATTAGAATAGCAAAACGACAGCACGGCATGCCATTTATGGAGCCTACTGCGCGGATAGGTGTGAATTTCCTGTAAATCGACGCGCAACATATTATTCAACGCTTGCCCCGGTATTTTTGAGTCAACTGTAGCGCTTAACCTAAATTACGTAGTTCACTCCTTATTTGAGATTCTCACTTTCTTATCCATTTTGCTAATCACTAGTTGATGTACGTGCTACTAACAAGTCATTCTTAACTTGATTTGGGGTGTTAGGGCCAATCGGTCTTCCTATCCTTTGTTGGATTTGGTTTTTATCTGTATATAGGCGTCACTTAATTGTTGTCTCCATTAGGATATTTCTCATGCGTTTAATCTGGTGTGTTGACGAGTATCGTATGTTAAGCCGCTGTTTTCCAACAGATAAAGAAGATCAAGAGTGTCCATAGGCGGCAGGACAATTGAAAAGCAGCACGTGCTGACTCGCTGCGTCAACCCTGCGTGATTTTGTGTGTGGCTTATAGGTTGAGTGAGCCATTAATTTTACATACCATACATATTCATAAAAATTCGGTAAGGGCTTGACTATGCAGTAAACGACAGTGCTTAATTTTGTTTTTGCAGTTTTTTTATGGCCCACCTCTCTAATGCCGCTAAGGGTCGTGTCAAGATTAAATTTTTTCAAATAATGAGTCAGGCCTGTTCTGTGGAAGCAAGCAGGTTAGATTCTTGTAACTGCGCAAGAGCATGCGGAGCAGCCTACTTGGCGTGTGCTAGAGCGTGCAAAGGGTGCAGATACAGGGCACTGTGCCGACGAAGCTCTACACGAGAAGGAGAGAGAAGGGAAGGCGTCTTCGAACGGGATCGCGCGCGCCGTCCGTCGAACACCCGAGATCTCGCCAGTGGGCGGCCAGCCAGCGTTATGCCTGCTGCTGCTGATCAGCTGTTGCCTTGATGATGTAGGCAGTGACGAGGCACGCAGCTTATAGCGCAAATTATTCGTGTAGGCAACGTTTTTTCTCCCCCGCTGACTTCGAGAACACAACAAAGTAGCGTCACCTAGCATCGTTACTTCGACATTTAATACCTCAGAGAATGCACAAATGAGATCGGCATCATTTTAATGCTGTTTTTTTTTGCTTGAAATCGGACCGATCTATGCAGTGTAATAACTATTTTTTGTTCCGCCAATTCTCTAAATTGCAAAAGAACGATAAACCAATATGTACGTAAATTTCGAACGCCCAACTACACCTTTACGAAGCTGCAAATCCTTGCTATTTAAGGGCACACGTTTTTTTATATAAAAGTGATGCATTGTTGTTATTAAATTATAGACAGCTTGATCGTAAATCAAATGACGACATCAATTGATTTGAGGTCACTCACTACAATATATGGATCGTGCTGGGCAGCTGAACGGAAACGAAATTCCAAGGGTGAGACTGATTTACTTTTGATTAGATTTAGCTGGCTCCCAACAAACCGAACTTTTCTCACCAGGCTTGATGTTACGCAGCCATGGATCCACAGTAACATTAAACGATACTTCGACGTACTGTAACAATTCCGTTTTTATTTTCATTTCTCACTTGCACATATCCCATCCTATGTGAACATTTCTCTCAGTGCTTGCGTTTTATCGCCGAGTGATAGCAGTAAATATAGCTGACAGAGTTGAGTACGTTTAGCTTAGTTAGTATGCTCTAATCTTAGGTTTATCAGCAACACCCTACTTCGCTCATCACTGACACTGTGATACCTAACAGTACGATTGCGGTTAAAGAAATAACGTTGTGAACTTAAAGCAATGAGACACACTAGTACGCTTTACATTTATCAGTGGACAACACTCTCAATACGTGAAAAGCAATTTTTTCCTATCAGATTGCAGGATTGTGTACCAACGACAAGTAGAAGAATCACCATACTTAATTGCAAACCAGAAAATTGAAAGGCGCTCGCAACCAGAATGAAATCGCGAAAACGTTGTAAATAGTTCCGATACAAAACAACGACGCAATGGCAAAGCACGACTATCACGACCCGGTGCAACACTTCACTAAATCCCGTTCAACATTCAATGCCTGCCAGCGCTTCAACGAAGACACACATTTCAACTTCCCGAGTCGAAACGCAAACTAGCTTAACAGCTAATGCAAATCGAAGCACCTACGTATATAGTGTTTGTGATAAGTTGGTGCATGCGACGTGCACTCGTGGCAAGATGCTTTAACTACATGCAGCTCAATCCTGACAGTCACCGCTCACCGCGTTTAACGCCTACCAAACTCACACACACTCTAGATCCGACTAGCGGAATCATGTGAGCGGTATCTGTATTTCCTACTACTGACCCACCCACGCACTAAGGATGGGGCTACCCTCCCCAATGGCAGAGAATGAATCCACCCTCCCAATGGCAGAAAATGGGTCCATCCTTCCAATGGCCAGGAATGGATCCACCCTTCCAATGGCTACTGCTCCTATGGCTGCTGCTGCCTCAACCCGTCTCCACGGCTACGGCTGCTACTGCCTCAGCCCGTCGCCACGGCTACGGCTGCTGCTGCCTCAGCCCGTCGCTACGGCTACGGCTGCTGCCTCGGCGCGTCGCCACGGTTATGGCTGCTGCTGCCTCAGCCCGTCGCTACGGCCACAGCTGCTGCTGCCTCAGCCCATTGCGACGGTTACGGCTGCTGCTGCCTCAGCGCGTCGACTCCCGCGGACGCCGCGTGCGCCTGCAGCAGCTGCGCCACCTGCCTCGTCTCGAGCGTCAGCCGCGCCTCGCGCATCCAGTCCTCGGCGACGCGGCGCGGCTCTCCGCGAAGCAGGTTCATCAGCCGCACCGCCGTCTCCAGATCCCCCGCCTCCAGCCGGCGCTCCGCGCGCGACAGCATGCGGAAGGCGTTCGCGTCCTCCGGATCGACGACCTCGTCGTCGCCGTCGGCGCGGGGTTCGAGGACGAAGAACGACTGCGCGTAGGAGAGCGCGCGGCGCGCGAGCGAGCCTCCGTCGTCGCCGATCATCGCCGCGCGCCGGCACACACGCTTCACGCGCGCGAACCGCTCGCACAGCTCCCCCTGGGTGTAGACGCCGCGGCGGAGCGCCTCTTCGGGGACGGCGGCGACGAGAGCGCGCACGAACGCGTGATCGCCGCCCGCGTCCTGGATCGCGACGAATTCGCCGGCGAGCGGCTTGAGGCGGTCGTCGCGGAGCGCGGCATTGAGGGCCTGGCACGCGAGCCACATCTCCTGCGACATGCGCGCCTGCAGCTCGGCGTCCGCCCGACCTGCGAGAAAACGCAATGGCGCCACCTGTTAGCACACGCTCGACACTCACAGAGCGCGACCATGGTGCATACGTTATACGTGCATTGTTAGTTACGTTCAAAATTGTTGCATGAGACCTGCTGTCAGCAACATTCAATAAAGATGCGTTCCCTTAAAGAAAAGGCGTTTTTTTAAAGGAGGGACATCAATTTAATGGAAGGGTGTCCCCTCACCGTGGCAACATAGCGGAGACTTACTGCCTATGGCGGCCTCTCAATGCCCCTCTTAAAGGAGGGTCCCCCTTCAAAGAACCGCAGCATTGGCAGGGAGACT